ATATATGTGTGTTTGATTTGCTGTTTCCTGCTTTTGCGTTTTCTTCGCCGGCGAGAGCCCTGCGCAAAGTCCCTTTTGGCGTTGTATGTTTGTGTGTGCTGTGTTTTGCCTCTCCTCTCCCAGCCTGCGTTTGCTGCTTCGCCCGCTTCTTCCGCGCGGACGCGGCGGCCCAGCAACAGGGGGAAGCAACGGAAGGAAGAAAATGGAGGAAGTACAGCGGCACCGCCGCCCGCTCGCGGAAGCAAAAAAAAACAGGGGGACAAACCGCGACGCAGCGGGGCCCCCACCGCCGACGGGAAAAAACAAAAGAAAGAAACAACCCACGCCTCGGTGGACACCCGAAAAGCAAATAATAATAATAATAATAATAATAATCCGAGGGCGGCGACGAAGACCCTGCACACGTGCAACTTCGAGGCAAACACACACACACACACACACGCAACTGTGCGTGGCAACGGCAGACGGCCCCCCAAAAAACTCCCCGCGTAATGACAGTGGCAGAATAACATGAAAAGGAAAAAAAACAACAAAATAAAATAAACGAAATCAAAAGCAAAGAGAATTAAACCTCGAGTGGGCAAAAGCGTGAATGTGTGCGCATGCACGTGTGCCACTTAAAACGCAATGAGAAAGGAGGGTTTCAAAAATACAGATCCCATCTTCAGTGCAGTAGCGACTCCCAGCTCAATTTCCTTCAATTTTTGTTTGGTTGCTTGCTTTCCGTAAAACTGTAAGCACATGAAAGGATAACATACATAAAGAATGCAAAACAAAAAAAATGGGTGGGGGAGGGAGGGCGGCAGAAAAATGGCCTACTCGCGCGTGCGTGCACCACGGCGCCGTTCCGCTCACAGCAGCCACGTCCCCACACCCCGCCGCTTTTACCCAACCCTCACGAACGCCGACCCCACGTAGGACGGCACCAGCGGCTTCTCCAGGAAGCGATCTGTGGTACTGGAGAGGCTTTCAGGGAGTGAGCCGGAACTCCACACGCCAGACCCCGCAGGCCCCCGCTGCAGTTGAGGCCTGCCCGCCGCGGCACAACATACAACACTCCGACGCCATGAGACGGGGTGCACCTCCTCATTCAGAATGATGCAGGCACCAGCCCTGTTCTTGTCGTCCAGGTAGTTGCAGCAGGAGAAAAGTGTTATGACGCGGCCGGAGAAGCCCATCTCCAGTCCAGCCATCTTCTGCTGGTGCGCACGGATCAGCATTGTGAATCCCCAGCGCCGCATAAAAGATTCCAGCGCAGACGCAGTAAACTCGCGAATGGTGTTCCTATCATCCCCTCGTCCAATGTTGCTGCGAAAGCCATGCACGTCAAACTGGTCGTGGCGACGCACCTGCTGTTCTGAGGTCTGCTTCTCGTTTTCATCCTCACTTCGCATTAGCGGGGTGTCGCACGCCACGGAAGAGGCCGACACGGGATCGTTCCAGAGCAGCTCACGCACAAGTCGACGGTACTGCGCGGTCACGGTGTCGTCATCCTTAACCGGCATCACGCAACGAAAGCGAAGGTCGCTCAATTCACTCGAGGTGCCGTTCAGAAGAAACCGCAGAAAATCCTCGTGTGGAGTGCTGTCGTCGCCGGTTGTCTCGCCATTCGCGGGAGACGAGGCGGCAGGCGTTTCCCCCGCCCGCTCCTTCTCCCCCGATTTCTGCGCCCCACGCGCCTGCTGCCCCTCTTGGGGCGCCCGCGGGCCGCCTTCGCCGGCTTCAGGGCGCTCCGCGTCGGCACGCAGCAGCGGAATACCGCCGTGGCACGCAAAAATGGTCCCGTCTATGATCGCAATGAGGGGGAGAGTTGCGAAGACGTCATTCACGCGTCTCCAAAACATCTCACCGTCGTCGCCGCCGAAGAAGTCCCAACACTTCTTGCGGAAGGAGGAATCGCCGTACGACTCCACGTCCCCGTTCACCTCCTCATCCTCGTGGTTGCCACGCAAAAGGATGACTGTCTCCGGACAAAGCGCTTGCCAGGAGAGCAGGTACAAGACGACCTCCACGTCATGCTGGCCGCGATCCACGTAGTCGCCAAGGAAAAGCACCGGTGTTGTCATGAGTGACCAGTGACGAAACGGCACCGCATTGTCAGCAATAAACTTTAGATCCGCAAAGCTACCATGAATGTCACCGCAGCATAGAATAGGCGAGCGAAGCCGAATCGTTAACGGTGACATGAGCATTGAAACGATCGCCTGCTCCGCCAGTAGCAAAAAGTGTTCAAGAATCATTTTTTTTTGTGCTGCGGAAATGGTATGAAGGTGCACTTTTGTGGGTCGTAGGCACCTTCAATGCATTCCAGCACAGCCGTCGCCGCGGTACGCACCGACGTCGCAAAGCGCATGTAGCGAACGCATTTCAACATGTCGCGAGCGTTAGATGTCACATACGGATCCGCTGGGGGCTTATACGTGACCGTGGCCCCTGTGAGTGAGAGGTCCGATGGCTGGTCGGGGTCCGACATGGCAATACTACTTTGCCCCATGACCGTGTGCAGGCTGGCGTGCTCCCCCCAGACCTCTACCACGTAGGGCACAATGGCATGCGCGGGGGGCGGCAGCGGGGGATCCGCTTCGCTCAAATACGACAAGGCGGCGTGTGTGAAGGCGGAGTCCTCAGCGCCAGTCGGGGACCGGCAAGGATTTTTCTCGGTCTCCTTTGATAACTGTGAGCCGCACGACGTCAACACCGACTGCGCATTGCCCTCCGACGAGGGCGTTGCGATGTGCACCACGCGTGGTGACCGGGGAAACTTCATTTTTCCAAATTTCCCACGCAACCCGCGTGGAGCCAGGAATATTGGCGGGGTGCCACGGCGTCCCACCGCGGCCGCAGGCTTCGGCGGAATTGCGTTGCTCTCCGGCGCCGGCTGCTCCACTGGACGCGTGGCGGTTGTGAAAAAACGACAAGTCAATTGCCGGCAGAGCTTGAGGAAAGACACAAAGGCGCCGGGGTAAAGTTGCATGGGCCGCTGGTGTCGCGGCATTTCAATGTTGTTGACGTACACGGGGAGTGAGCAGGGGACGACTTGTAGCCGCAGCACCCCCTCCACACTGCAGGAGACGCAGGCAAAGACTGGGTCACGGCAGACGAGGCGGGAAAAGCCGGCGACGGGCGGTTGGGGCAACGACAAGACGACGTCGCATGACGCGTCAGGACCGATGCGCAGCTCGCGGCCACATTCAACAACAATACAAAACCTGTCACACATGCGGCGTCCTGAGAACTTCTAGGAAGAAAACCAGCAGGAATCGAGAAGGAGAGAGAGAAAGGAAAGACAAAAGCAAAAAAGGAAGAGAAAAGGTTGTTTTTTTTTACCCCCTTGTGCGTGTGTGCGAGGAAAAGAGAATGAACAAGACAGTGCCCCCACAAGGAGCAACGAATGTGGGGAAGAAAAACTACACGGGTAGTAACAGGAAAGTAAACGTTCATTAATATCGTAATCTGTCGCATGGGGAGCTGCGCCGCAAGAAGACCCCGCACGAACACCCCCAGACGCAGAGGCGTCCCGGATGGGG